CGCCATATTTCTATTAAAATTGCTATCTTCTCCTCCAACCAATTCTCTGAACGTTTTTTCTCGCTTTCTTCGAATGTTTGTGCATTTGTTTCCACCATTATTTTTGAACTTGTGGTAGACCTCGAGGAAAGCTTGAAGCGACTTAAGCTTCTTTGAGAAAGAGATTTAAGCTGAGCCTGTTGTTGGTAGTTAAACCGGTTTAAAGTTAAGTTCCGTTCATATTTTATTCCTTAAGCTGGCTTAAAATACACAATGTGAATGTGAAAATTTTTTTGTACTTTCTACAATTTGAATTATTTCCTCGCTGAAGCTGAACTTTGGTACAACCAATGAAAAGGAAAAAAAAAGTGCGAAATTCCGAACTGAAGGAGATAGAACTAGCTGCACTAGTTAAAGAAACGCAATTGTTCTACCCATTTATAGAACGGGCGCTACTTATATCACTCGAACAGCCCTGAGATCCTTCAGCTCCTAAAAATAATAACTTTGATACGGTCAACAATGACAGAAATTCGGCTTCTCGGTCTTTGTATGATGAGTGTGCATAAAAGAAGGGTTCTGGAAGCTAAAAATAAATTTGATAAAATAATTTTGGCAAGATTTAACCAGAATTCCAGTAGGCTAGTGCTGAGATAAGATTTAGATAGGTTCGAATAGCATTGCAATTACTGTAATTACTTTTAGCGTTTTGAAATGTTCAAATACCGGTGTTTATTTAAAAAACGGTTTTAACATAAATAATTCTTTATACTACATATTATAAATTATAATTTAATAGTAGTATTTTGTTTTATTATACAGCAAACAAATTTAAATTTAAAATAAAATTAAGAGGTTTTTCATGCGGATTATACAATAAAATATAGTTAAATTTATTTCTAAAAAAACAGTAAAAATAGAAAGAATTGAAACACTAAAAAGAACAATTATAAATTCTCATTAATTTAAATAAATGCCGAATACTGAAAAATTTAATAAGAATTTGATTTTTATAATAACATTTAAATCTTACTTTTAAAAATAAAATTTAAGTTCGAAAGAAATATTATCGTAAATGCTTTTGTCAATTTTAATGTTTAATCGTTCGAACATTATTCTTTCCGTGTCTTCATTGTTCTCAAAGAGGATTGTTTCGGACGATAGATTAACAGTGGACTGAAAATTTTCAATATCGACAAAAAAAGCAATGAAACGAAACGGCATATCCTTTTTTACGTAAAAACACCTTTCCAATTTTGCGATTCCCTCCCGATTGCAAACAGTGTAAAAGCAGTAAACACCGCTTTTCAACATCCTAAAATATCCAAATACTTGCATTATGGCACTGTCGCGAGAGAGGTTTATTGGTAACAGAAGATCGGTGAGATAACAATCTTCGCTCAAAATTACCTCACAGCTGAAATACAACTTCGGCTTTCTATTTTCGTTGGATAATTTTGTAAAATGTTCATTATTATAATTATCATAATGAATCAAGTCGTAATAATTGTCTTTGTATCTGATTTGTGTTTCCTTACTAAAGTAAGTCGGATAATTGGAATAATCTTGAGTCTCGGAAGCATACCGAAGAAGTCCTTTTTCTGTACTAGTTAAGAAGTTAAGTGTAAACACGGAAGATTTCATTTCACTTACACTCATGGCAAGAAATCTGATTTTTTCAATAAATGGTTCGAAAACATTTCTTATTTTCAGTCTCTTAGTTTCTTTTTTCATTAAAATATAAGCCTTTGTACCTGTTTCATTTCTTACTCGTTCTTCGCACCAATGATATACACCTAAGAATAAGCTTATCTCGGTAATAGATTCGCATATGGGTCGAAATACGAGTGTATTAATTGTTGAACTTTTACAGCACAAAAAGTCCTGTGTTGTAAATACGTTTTCTCCGTGTTCATCGAAAGCTTTCCAACAATAATAAATTATGTCTGAATCTTTGACTTCGCAGGCAAAGTCGTGTATTGAGCAAACATTACTCAGTGAGATTTCTTTAATAAGATATATTCTGCATTTCCTCCGTAAATTTTCTATTTTATATCTTTTACTTAAACGATATAAATCGAATGCATGTGTGACAGAGGTGAATTCGGGATCGTCCCTTTCCATGTAGCTGTTTTAATAATATAAAAAACACAAATTATATATTATATATTATATTATATATTATTTATTATATATGTATATTAAAAAACATCATATATTAATTAATTTATGGTGAAGTATTTGTAAAACTTACTTGACAAAATTTCTGATTGTCTGAATTGGATATGGCAATAGAATATGCTTTGAATTTCTTATAGTTACAATTAAAAATTCCATATTTCTGGTCACGACTTTATCGAATAATTCTTGTGAAATGACAATTTCTTGTTTTTCTAAACTTCGGATTCGTAGCAGATTCGAAGACATTCTAAAGTACAAAATCATGTATTATATATTATTTTTAAAAATTAAATTGAATTCTGAATCAATAAAATACCTATAAATTAGAACTGATTTTTCAACGGGGAAGCACATTCATTTCATATTGCCACAATGGAATTACCTATCACACGCCAATTCCAGTGCAATTTTTAATCGAACAATATACGTATGAGGGAGAGATGGAAAACGATGCACCAGATCGACCTTAATAAACTACGGAAGTATTAATTTGCATGAAAACATGCAGAGATATTAGCTAAATATGAAGTTATCTTTTAATTTATATGTAAATAAATAAATAAATAACTGTTATATATAACAGCTGGATTATCCACTGACAAGCTCAAAATGGTTGTAATAATCTCTGTTTAAAAAGATAAAGAGAACAATTCCTAATCTGTCATTATATAACGTAGCAATTATCTGTCAAACTAGAAACACACCTATAAACTGTATTATTCTAGTCATTTTAATCTAGAAATGTTTACAAATTTATCTAAATTAAATAAACTTACTTCGTAAATTTACTCGTTCTTTTCGATCTCTTTAGTTAAACTTCAGAAAAATTAAGTATTTAATTTGAGGAATGATGAGATGAATTCGGTTGTATTATCTCTCGTTTTGAAGTTCAAGTTATTTCTCTTTCAAAGATTAATATTTTGGAGCATCATCCACAACCAACTCTTTACCAGTACTTTGAACACTTCAACATCATTTTACTCTTCCTCTTCCAAGTATCAACTTTATTTTTTCTTTCAAGAGTACGTTTCTTTTTTATTCTCTCGTAGTTTGTCTTTATTAGATTATTCGAACTCTTCACGACGGACTTCATCGAGATTCTAGCACTACTTATATCAACCTCTTTCATATCCTTTCCAGGAAAAGTCGAAGAAATATCATACCTTTTGCTGTCTTATTAATAGTCACATGAATTAGTATAATATCTATTATTATTTTCTATGTAGCCACAGTGACATTTCAGTTATCTCTATACTCATATTTTTTTAAATTTGCCAGATTATTTACATACATTCTTCGAATATTAATGAAATTTTTATAAGTATTTAATAAATTTATTCTAAACCAGTATTAATAGATTAAATATTAGTAATAAATAACAAGGGTAATAACTAATCGCAATATTATAGCTTTCTGTAAGCCCTGCCGAAAAAGGCAACAATGCAAGGAGCTCAGGTTTTTATTATGCTATGCCATCAGTGTATGTCGTCGGGCTGAGATATTCCAGGTCAAAGTTCATCACGTAAAGTAAACAGGCCGATTCTCGGTTTTAAGCTGGTTTTGCACTACGTGTTAAAGGATTTTTTTTTGTGTATGTGCGGAGTTTCTTCACTCACTTTAAAGCTTAATAATTACAGTGTTTTTTATCGTAAAATTTTAAAATTTTCCAGAAAGTTTTATGTATTAAAGGATTGGTGTTACTGAATTTTAGTGGGTAAGGTCGAGGGGGTGAGGAAATAAAGGGGAGTCGTGTGTTATATCTCGAATAGGGTCGGGTTTAATGATGATTTTACTCGTTATTAATCTTTAAAATTATTTATTTATTTATTTATTACAAAATTATTATAAAAGGGCAAAAAGTTTAATTAATAGCCCATTCTAGAGTTAAACATAATTACATTATTATTCAGAACATTATAAAATATTTATATTTAATACATAAAATCAGTTGAATTAATTGCAATTTTATTTTAATATAAAAAAAAATTATTATGGATCGATGAACGTGTAAAAATTCAATCTTCATTTGTTGCTATTGTCACAATTATCGAACATACAGGCACCGTTTGGTGAGCTGTAGAAAACAAAATTGAAGCGTTAACTTGTTTATTATAAATTAACTTCAGGTTTAATAGAAATATAAAAAAAACTTACTTTAAAAATTTTTTTGCGGATTTCTTAGAGCAAGAAGAATATTTTTCTCCAGGTAATACCTCGGTAGAGCAATTTTCTGCTTTATATCTCGTGGTAAAAGAACTATCATTTGAGTAGATTCTACAGAATCATTTATTTATTAAAAAATGTTTTTGGGATTTAAAACTGCTTCGAGAAATTACTTACAGATTCCCTAATTGGTAAACAAAGTTATCAATTGTCGAAGACAGATGACGGTCATCGCTCACCATCGCAAATTTTATGTCCGAATCGCAAGCACCTCGCACCCAACCCATGCCTTCAAATAATTTTTTAAAAAGAACATGAAATTAGAAATCTTCTTGAAGTGAATGACTTAATTAAAAATGCTAAATTTACTATCATTGATTTCTTCTAGTTTATTTTTTATTCTTCGAATGCGTGCAAATATTTTACGTCTGCAACAAAAATACATTTCTTAACTTTTGTTACAAGAAAACAGAAAATGTATTATTTTCATAATACATTTAACTACACTACTCAAAACAATTAGGTAAGTCTGTGAGTGCTCTTATTGAGGTATGGCAAAAAGTTCTTCAATACCTCGAATATACCTTGACACACAGATGTACAGCAGTTTTGGCTGTAGATAGAGAGATNAATGTTTTTGGGATTTAAAACTGCTTCGAGAAATTACTTACAGATTCCCTAATTGGTAAACAAAGTTATCAATTGTCGAAGACAGATGACGGTCATCGCTCACCATCGCAAATTTTATGTCCGAATCGCAAGCACCTCGCACCCAACCCATGTCTTCAAATAATTTTTTAAAAAGAATATGAAATTAGAAATCTTATTGAAGTGAATAATTTAATTAAAAATGCTAAATTTACTACTCTTAGATTCTGTTGCAAAATTATCTCCTGGTCTTGGAATGCGTGTAAATATTTTACGTCTGCAACAAAAATACATTTCTTAACTTTTTTTACAAGAAAACAGAGAAATTAATACATTTAACTACACTACTCAAAACAATTAGGTAAGTCTGTAAGTGCTCTTATTGAGGTATGGCAAAAAGTTCTTCAATACCTCGAATATACCTTGACACACAGATGTACAGCAGTTTTGGCTGTNAAAACAGAGAAAATAATACATTTAACTACACTACTCAAAACAATTAGGTAAGTCTGTAAGTGCTCTTATTGAGGTATGGCAAAAAGTTCTTCAATACCTCGAATATACCTTGACACACAGATGTACAGCAGTTTTGGCTGTAGATAGAGAGATCGTATACCCTACTAAAACATCATTTATATTGTTGAAAAGCATATTGAAATAAATGAAAATATGGCAAAAATTCGTCTCGAATGTATGCTTTACAGTATTTCACGTAACAATAGCATGTTACATTCAGAACAGTAAAGATTTTCCATGCAATAAACAGTAATATGTTTAAGAGTTTTGTCGTTAAAATACAGCAGAAATTTTTATTCATTTTTACCCAGTAATCACAATAATAATATCGGCCTTTTCTACAATGGGAATCTTCTCCATATAACGCATATCATAAGTGACTTCGGTAAGAATGATGGTACGGTGCCTTTCTGTATACAGATTCTTTTTAATGAATTCCGGTTCGGTTTCGTTCTTAAATGTTAATACGCATAAACAAAAAACAGAAAAATAAATGGTACTTTTCAACATTTGTTTAACTTACTGTATACGAGATACGTCCAATCAAACGAAGTGTTATACTAAGTTCTAATTCATCGATAGTATTTTGTGTCTGAAACGCAATAAAATTAATATAATAAACAATTGAATGTGTACAATTACGCAAGAAATAAAGATTTTAAAGCTTACTCCACTAATTATATCATTTATATAATCGTAATTTCTTCTTCGTTATCAAATCTTGCAGCGTAGGCACTATCTGTTATTATCAGACATTCAATAACGGGGCATGGTGTGGAATCTAATTCAGTATCCAGTATATTTTCCAAGATATTTTCTTCAGCTCTCTTCTTAATCGTTGATAATTCTGCCAAAGTGTATTAAATCTTATTATATTTATAGTTATTGTTAAAATAATGTTAATATCCTTAGGAGGAAGAAATGAACAAAATCTTATGTAGCTAAATTGTAACTTGATAAATAATTAAGATTTATTACAATTAATTTGAAGAGAAATTATAAAATATACTCACTCAACAATTGTTGGAAATCGAAACTCTTTCCATAAATATCTCCTATAATAAGAGAGAAAATCACTGGAAATATAATTAAAGAATTCATCTTTCGAGTAGATATGTCGTCTTAATTCATTGTATGCAAGTTTAAGTATTTATAATAGTGTTATCAATGAAAGAATTGAATTTTCGGCTTTATTGAATTTTCTTTATTTAATTTTACTGAGATATAGAAAAATTACTTCCTTTCCTTTATAATTTGTGTTGATTACATTTAATTTAACCTTTCTTCTTATTAATGAGGTGCTGGCAAAAGTTCCGGATCGATAGGTCAAAGTTTATGGGGTTTCCCCTTAGAGATAATTCAGTTTTACCGCTTAATTTTATGATTAAATAAAATTGGATGGAAATAAATTAATTTATATGTTTTTTTAACACTCTCTACCCCGAGGACACTAATAGGNCTTTCGAGTAGATATGTCGTCTTAATTCATTGTATGCAAGTTTAAGTATTTATAATAGTGTTATCAATGAAAGAATTGAATTTTCGGCTTTATTGAATTTTCTTTATTTAATTTTACTGAGATATAGAAAAATTACTTCCTTTCCTTTATAATTTGTGTTGATTACATTTAATTTAACCTTTCTTCTTATTAATGAGGTGCTGGCAAAAGTTCCGGATCGATAGGTCAAAGTTTATGGGGTTTCCCCTTAGAGATAATTCAGTTTTACCGCTTAATTTTATGATTAAATAAAATTGGATGGAAATAAATTAATTTATATGTTTTTTTAACACTCTCTACCCCGAGGACACTAATAGGGTTTCTTGTTAGCCAGCCAATTATTAATTCAACCTGGCCCTACAATAGTGGACGGACAGTGTCCTGGTATTTTCGATCATCAGAGTTGTATTCCGGATACCCCAGAACAGTAAACTGCCACTTTAAGTCCTATCCTATACGACTATCACTATAGCAGGATTATTAATATAGTGTTATACCCTATTCACACTGCATATTTTAAGCGGGATTAAGATTTAAGCAGAATTAATTCAAGCCGCATTGTCGAAAATAAGTTTAACTATTTGTTCACACTGGGTAATTATGACTTTAGTGACAGATAAGAATGGACTCGACAGAAAGTTATATTATTATTATTATTTAAACTTCTTTTATTGAAGCAGCGTATACACGCTAACAGAGAAGAGTATCGTTTGACACGAACAAAGCATTGAAATGGCGACGACGAGCAAAAGAAAATTCGTGTGTTGTAGCCATGATTTGTTCTACGTTTCGTAGTGATCGAATTTGGATGATCCCAAGAAATCAGAAATGGTGGAAAGAGTGTGTTCCTGTAATGGATGAAGTAAATTGGCGTGAAAACTTTAGTGTTTCTAGAGAAACGATTAATTCCTTATATGCTGCATTACCTGAAATGAAAAGAAATAATGAGACGATGTATTTCTACAGATAAAAGAGTAGCAATTGCTGTATACACAGTACATTCGTCTGGCATCGTCGTCTGAATATAGGACTATTTCGCGTCTGTTTGGTGTAGGAAAATCCACGGTTTGTAAAATTGTTATAGACGTTTGCAATGCAGTTATAAATACAGTAGGGCATCGATTATCCGACTCAATTGGGGACTTGGGTTGGTCGGATAACTGAAAAATCAAATAACCGAAAAGTATGAAAAAATACATTAACCTACTTCGCGTTGAATTTTCATCGATGTTAAGCCTAACAAAATTTTTTAAAATAATAATCGTCGCTATCGAGACATTCCAATTTCCAACGCGAGTGTTGAGTGTTGAAGTCAACAATTTGACGTCATCAACGACGTTCCAACTCGAGTAAGAAGTGCTTAGTTCCCATAATTCCATTCTCAGCAAGATGGATTCCATTCAAATGTCTTACCAATTACCCACAATTCATTGGAAAGTAGCAGTCAACATATCTGTTGAGTGCTGAGTGTGTTGAATCAGCGCTGACAACAGCGCTACCTCAACGTTGAAAAAAGGAACGAATTTTAACGAATGTTGAGATCAGCGCTGAGTCAGGGTTGAAAATTGGAATGTCACGTATTGTATCGTTAAAAATTAGAAAATTATGTCTCGTTTAAATACTGATCCTCCCTTTCATGGTCGAGACAGTATTGTCAGCTAAAACACGCAAAATTTAACAAAAATAATATTAAAGTAGCCAAGATATAGCGAAATATTGTAGCGCCACATCTCTAGCGGACATTTGAATTTGCCGACTAGAACGCGGTCGGTTAACCGATGTGGCTCTCAAAGCTTACGTTGCACCCTCACGTAATGCTTGATATGACTTGTGAAATTTTTTTTTAAAAAACTACAATTTTTTAGTACTTTCTACAATTTGAATTATTTCCTCGGTGAAGCTGAACTTTGGTACAGTACAACCAATGAAAAAGAAAAAAAAATGTGCGAAATTCCGAACTGAAGGAGAAAGAACTAGCTGTACTAGTTAAAGGAACGCAATTGTTCTACCCGTTTATAAAAGGGCGCTACTTATATCACTTGAACAGCCCTGAGATCCTTCAGCACCTTACACAGGATAAAAACTTTGATACGGTCAACAATGACAGAAATTCGGCTTGTCGGTCTTTGTATGATGAGTGTGCATAAAAAGAAGGTTCTGGAAGCTAAAAATAAATTTGAGAAAGAAGTTTTGACAAGATTTAGCCAGAACTGCAGTAGGCTAGTGCTGAGATAAGATTTACATTGGTTCGAATAGCATTGCAATTTCTGTAATCACTTTTGGCGTTTTGAAATGTTCAAATAACGTTGTTTATTTAAAAAAATTATTTTTATCTTATTTTTGCCACCCCTAAAGAAAATCCTGCCTATGTCCTTGCTAAAGGACTTCTCGTTTCTTTAGAAAGTCCTCCCGAAGGCATTCCCCTTTGGCGATTTGTCCAAGTGTTTGTTGCCGTACACAAATAAACAAAACCAAACCTGACATCAACTTTGGAACTGGCAGCACATTGAACAAGTTCTGTCGTACCTCAACTCAATGTTACGATAATCAAAGTTCTGCTTACGTCGGGGATGCAGTAAGAACAAGTTCTTCAAAACGTACAGAACGTTTTAACATTATAATATGTAGTATAAAGAATTATTTATTATAATTTAATAGTAGTATTTGTTTTATTATACAGCAAACAAATCTAAATTTAAAATAATATTAAGGGGTTCTTTATGCGGATTATACAATATAATATAGTTAAATTTATTTCTAAGAAAACAGTAAAAATAGAAAGAATTGAAACACTAAAAGATAAAAAGAACAATTATAAATTTTCATTAACTTAAATAAATGCCGAATAATGAAAAATTTTAATAACAATCTTATTTTTAAAAATAAAATTTAAGTTCGAAAGAAATATTATCGTAAATGCTTTTGTCAATTTTAATGTTTAATTGTTCGAACATTTCTTCCGTTTCTTCATCGTTCTCAAAGAGGATTGTTTCGGACGATAGATTAACAGTAGACTGAAAATTTTCAATATCGACAAAAAAAGCAATGAAACGAAACGGCATATCCTTTTTTAGGTAAAAACACCTTTCCAATTTTGCGATTCCCTCCCGATTGCAAACAGTGTAAAAGTAGTGAATATCGCTATTCAACGTCTTAATATATCCAAATACTTGCATAATGGCACTGTCGCGAGAGAGGTTTATTGGTAAGAGAAGATCGGTGAGGTAAGAATCTTCGCTCAAAATTACCTCACAGCTGAAATACAACTTTGGCTTCCTATTTTCGTTGGTTATTCTTGTAAAATGTTCATTATTACTAATATAATCAATCAAGTCGTAATAATTTTCTATGTATCTGGTTTGTGTTTCCTTACTAAAGTAACTCGGATAATTGGAATAATCTTGAGTCTCGGAAGCATACCGAAGAAGTCCTTTTTCTGTACTTGTTAAGAAGTTAAGTGTAAACACGGAAGATTTCATTTCACTTACACTCATGGCAAGAAATCTGATTTTTTCAATAAATGGCTCAAAAACATCTCTTATTTTCAGTCTCTTAGTTTCTTTTTCCATTAAAACATAAGCCTTTGTACCTGTTTCGTTTTTTACTCGTTCTTCGCACCAATGATATACACCTAAGAATAAGCTTATCTCGGTAACAGATTCGCATATGGGTCGAGATACGAGTGTATTAATTGTTGAACTTTTACAGCACAGAAAGTCCCGTGTTGTAAATACGTTTTCTCCGTGTTCATCGAAAGCTTTCCAACAATAATAAATTATGTCTGAATCTTTGACTTCGCAGGCAAAGTCGTGTATTGAGCAAACATTACTCAGTGAGATTTCTGTAATAAGATATATTCTGCATTTTCTCCGTAAATTTTCTATTTGAAATTTTTTACTTAAACGATATAAATCGAATGCCTGTGTGACAGAGGTGAATTCGGGATCGTCCCTTTCCACGTAGCTATTTTAATAATATAAAAAACACAATTTATAACATTACATATTAATAAATTAATGATGAAGTATTTGGAAAACTTACTTGACAAAATTTCTGATTGTCTGACTTGGATATGGCAATATAATATGCCTTGAATTTCTTATAGTTACAATTAAAAATTCCATATTCCTGGTCACGACTTTATCGAATAATTCTTGTGAAATAACAATTTCTTGTTTTTCTAAACTTCGGATTCGTAGCAGATTCGAAGACATTCTAAAGTACAAAATCATGTATTATATAATTATTTTTAAAAATTAATTTCATTTGCAAAGTTAAATTATCATTTCTTTTCAGAGGCGTTCGCACATAATTGCCAAGTATATGATAATAGTCAGCTGTAATTACAGGCGAAAATTTTGTACTCAGCTGTTTAATTTGATATATTTATATTAATGTAATCAACGAACATGTAAAATTCTGAATCAATAAAATACGTATAAATTAGAACTGACTTCTCAATGGGGAAGCACATTCATTTAATACCGCTACAGTGGAATTACCTATCACAGGCCAACTCGAGTGCAATTTTAATCAAACAATACACGTGTGAGGGACAGAAAACGATGCATCAGATCGACCTTAATAAACTACGGAAGTATTAATTTGTATGGAAACAAGCTGAGATTTTATATTATCTTTCAATTTATATATAAATAAATAACTAAACAACTCTGTTATAACAGAGTTTTGGTTATGCAGTGACAAACTCAAAACGGACCTAATGACCTTTGTTTAAAAAGTTAAAGAGAACAATTCTTAGTCTGTAATTATATAACGTAGCAATCATCTGTCAAACTGTATTCTTCTAGTCATTTTAATCTAGAAACGTTTACAAATTTATCTAAATTAAATAAACTTAAAACTTACTTCGTAAATTTACTCGTTCTTTTCGGTCTCTTTAGTTAAACTTCAGAAAAACTAAGCATTTAATTTGAGGGATGATGAGAAAAATTCGGTTGTATTATCTCTCGTTTTGAAGTTCAAGTTGTTTCTCTTTCAAAGATTAATATTTTGGAGCATCATCCATTACCAACTCTTTACCAGTACTTTGAACACTTCAACATCATTTTACTCTCCCTCTTCCAAGTATCAACTTTATTCTTTCTTTCAAGAGTATGTTTTTTCTTTTATTCTCTTGAGGTTTCTCTTCAGAGGTTGATATTAGATTATTCGAAGTCTTCACGACAGATTTAATCAAGATTCTAGCACCATTTATATCAATCGCTTTCGTATTATTTCCAGGAAAAGTCGAAGAAATATCATACCTTTTGCTGCCTCATTAATGCTCAGATGAATTAGTATAATATCTATCATTATTTTCTATGTAGTCACAGTGACATTCCAGTTATCTCTATATTCATATTTTTGTGTAATTTGCCAGACTATTTACATATATTCTCCGGATATTAATAAGATTATTTTAATGCATTAAAATTTTATAAGTATTTCATAAATTTATTCTAAACCAATATTAATATTAAATAACAAGGGTAATAACTAATCGCAATATTATAGCTTTCTGTAAGTCCTGCCGAAAAAGGCAACAATACAAGGGTCTCAGATTTTCTTTCTTCTATGCCATCAGTGTCTGTCGTCGGGCTGAGATATTCCAGGTCAAAGTTCATCACGTAAAGTAAACAGGCCGATTCTCGGTTTTAAGCTGGTTTTGCACTATTTGTTAGGGGATTTTTTTTCTGTATGTGCGGAGTTTCTTCACTCACTTTGAAGCTTAATAATTCCTGTGCTTTTTATCGTAAATTTTGGAAATTTTGCGGGAAGTTTTATGTATTAGGAGATTGGTGTTAGTAAATTTTAGTGGGTAAAGTCGAGGGGGTGAGGAAATAAAAAGGAGTCGCGTGTTATATCTCGAATAGGGTCGGGTTTAATGATGAATTTACTCGTTATTAATCTTTAAAATTATTTATTTATTTATTTATTACAAAATTATTATAAAAGGGCAAAAAGTTTAATTATTAGCCCATTCTAGAGTTAAACATAATTACATTATTATTCAGAACATTATAAAATATTTATATTTAATACATAAAATCAGTTGAATTAATTGCAATTTTATTTTAATATAAAAAAAAATTATTATGGATCGATGAACGTGTAAAAATTCAATCTTCATTTGTTGCTATTGTCACAATTATCGAACATACAGGCACCGTTTGGTGAGCTGTAGAAAACAAAATTAAAGTGTTAACTTGTTTATTATAAATTAACTTCAGGTTTAATAAAAATATAAAAAAAACTTACTTTAAAAATTTTTTTGCGGATTTCTTAGAGCAAGAAGAATATTTTTCTCCAGGTAATACCTCGGTAGAGCAATTTTCTGCTTTATATCTCGTGGTAAAAGAACTATCATTTGAGTAGATTCTACAGAATCATTTATTTATTAAAAAATGTTTTTGGGATTTAAAACTGCTTCGAGAAATTACTTACAGATTCCCTAATTGGTAAACAAAGTTATCAATTGTCGAAGACAGATGACGGTCATCGCTCACCATCGCAAATTTTATGTCCGAATCGCAAGCACCTCGCACCCAACCCATGCCTTCAAATAATTTTTTAAAAAGAACATGAAATTAGAAATCTTCTTGAAGTGAATGACTTAATTAAAAATGCTAAATTTACTATCATTGATTTCTTCTAGTTTATTTTTTATTCTTCGAATGCGTGCAAATATTTTACGTCTGCAACAAAAATACATTTCTTAACTTTTGTTACAAGAAAACAGAAAATGTATTATTTTCATAATACATTTAACTACACTACTCAAAACAATTAGGTAAGTCTGTGAGTGCTCTTATTGAGGTATGGCAAAAAGTTCTTCAATACCTCGAATATACCTTGACACACAGATGTACAGCAGTTTTGGCTGTAGATAGAGAGATCGTATACCCTACTAAAACATCATTTATATTGTTGAAAAGCATATTGAAATAAATGAAAATATGGCAAAAATTCGGCTCGAATGTATTCTTTACAGTATTTTACGTAACAATAGCATGTTACATTCAGAACAGTAAAGATTTTCCATGCAATAAACAGTAATATGTTTAAGAGTTCTGTCGTTAAAATACAGCAGAAATTTTTATTCATTTTTACCCAGTAATCACAATAATAATATCGGCCTTTTCTACAATGGGAATCTTCTCCATATAACGCATATCATAAGTGACTTCGGTAAGAATGATGGTACGGTGCCTTTCTGTATACAGATTCTTTTTAATGAATTCCGGTTCGGTTTCGTTCTTAAATGTTAATACGCATAAACAAAAAACAGAAAAATAAATGGTACTTTTCAACATTTGTTTAACTTACTGTATACGAGATACGTCCAATCAAACGAAGTGTTATACTAAGTTCTAATTCATCGATAGTATTTTGTGTCTGAAACGCAATAAAATTAATATAATAAACAATTGAATGTGTACAATTACGCAAGAAATAAAGATTTTAAAGCTTACTCCACTAATTATATCATTTATATAATCGTAATTTCTTCTTCGTTATCAAATCTTGCAGCGTAGGCACTATCTGTTATTATCAGACATTCAATAACGGGGCATGGTGTGGAATCTAATTCAGTATCCAGTATATTTTCCAAGATATTTTCTTCAGCTCTCTTGTTAATCGTTGATAATTCTGCCAAAGTGTATTAAATCTTATTATTTTTATATTTATAGTTATTGTTAAAATAATGTTAATATTCTTAGGAGGAAGAAATGAACAAAATCTTATGTAGCTAAATTGTAACTTGATAAATAATTAAGATTTATTACAATTAATTTGAAGAGAAATTATAAAATATACTCACTCAACAATTGTTGGAAATCGAAACTCTTTCCATAAATATCTCCAACAATACGAGAGAAAATCACTGGAAATATAATTAAAGAATTCATCTTTGGAGTAGATATGTCGTCTTAATTGTATGTAAGTTTAAGTATTTATAAAAGTGTTATCGATGAAAGAAATCAAATTTTCCACTTAATTGAATTTCCTCTATTTAATTTTACTGAGATATAGAAAAATTACTTCCTTTCCTTTATAACTTGTGTTGATTACATTTAATTTAACGTTTCTCTTTATTAATGAGGTGCTGGCAAAAGTTCCGGGTCGATAGGTCAAAGTTAACGGAGGTTTCCCCGTAAAGATAATTCAGTTTTACCGCTTAATTTTATGATTAAATAAAATTGGATGGAAATAAATTAATTTTAAATGTTTTTTTTTAACACAATCTACCCCGAGGAGACTGAGAGGGTTTCTTTTTAGCCAGCCAATTATGAATTCAACCTGGCCCTGCAATAGTGGACGGATAGTGTCCTGGTGTTTTCGATCATCAGAATTAGATTCCGGATACCCCAGAACAGTAAGCCGCCACTTAACTTTTATCATATACTACTATCACTATAGCAGGATTGTTAATGTAATCCATTATGGATAGGATTAGTACTAAGTCAAGTCTGCAATGGATGTGGACCTCACCTCAGTGTATTTGAATACATATTTTATTTATTTT